ATAGCACTTTTCTGGACACTCCACTCAAAGCACTTTACAGGTAATGGGGATCCCCTCCACCCCCACCAGTGTGCAGCCCCACCTGGATGATGCTCCAGTCCTCTCACACACACCAGCTCTCAGTGGGGAGGAGAGCAGAGGGATGAAGCCAGTTCAGAGAGGGGGGTTATTAGGAGGTCATGATGGGTAAAGGACAGGGGGATATTTGGTCAGGACACCAGGGTAACACCCCTACTCTTTTCGAGAAACACCCTGGGTTTTTTAGTGACCACAGAGAGTCAGGACTTAGGTTTTACGTCTCATCTGAAGGACGGCGCCTATTTACAGCGTAGTGTCCCTGTCACTATACTGGGGCATTAGGACCCACATAGACCACACGGTGAGCGCCCTCTGCTGGCCCCACTAACACCTCTTCCAGCAAAAGCCTTAGTTTTTCCCAGGAGTTTTCCATCCAGGTACTGACCAGGCTCACACCTGCTGAGCTTCAGTGGGCTGCCAGCTGTGAGTTGCAGAGTGATATGGCTGCTGGCACAATGTCTAATATTACAGTGTAAAGAGCACTTCCCAGAAGCACCCTTGTGATCAGGTGCAGTACTGTACCTTGGCCTTCAGCATGGGGTAGTAAAGGGAGCAGGACAGCCAGCACAAGAACCCACATCTTCCCAGCCTGTAGACACACAGACACAGACATGAAGAGACAGACTACATGATACAAATGAGGAAAATGTTCACTAGTTAATAAACAAGGTCTGCTGTTCCATTACTTAAAATAATCTTAAATGTAAATTTTCAGCAACTGTTTGTTTTATGTCAGTGGCAGGTGTTCTGTCCAAGTCTCAGGCTAAATCCCATCTCCAGGCCACATCCTGTGCCCAAACACTCCCACACCTGGACTCAACAGCCACCTTGCTGTGCCCAAACACACAGCTGTTGGGCTGTTGCTGTGCCCAACAGCCATCCTGTGCCCAAACACTCCCACACCTGGACTCAACAGCCACCTTGCTTCAGAACGAGGTCAAAAACAGATGAGAGGAGTGCTTTCACCCCAAGAATCTACAAGAATTCCATAGGGAGTCTGAAAGGGTCCCGGAGACACGCCCACACCCAGCAAAGTGTCTTGGGAGAATACTGCTCAGAACTGGAATGTTAGAGCAGCAGGACAAGGCTGCGGAGAGCCTCTTTCAGACAGACAGAAACTGGAGGAGAAGCCCCACCTGGGCCCGTTATTAAAAAGAGACAAACAGGTCCTGCAACTGGGAAAGTGACTCACAGACACACTGCAGAGAGCTCTCTCTTACTCCCCACACAGCAGAGAGCTCTCTCTCACTCCCACACACAGCAGAGAGATCTCTCAGTCCGACACACAGCAGAGTGCTCTCTCACACACTGACACACAGCAGAGTGCTCTCTCACTTCGACACACAGCAGAGATCTCTCTCTCACTCCCACAGCAGAGAGATCTCTCAGTCTGACACACAGCAGAGTGCTCTCTCACACACTGACACACAGCAGAGTGCTCTCTCACTCCGACACACAGCAGAGTGCTCTCTCACTCCGACACACAGCAGAGTGCTCTCTCACACACTGTCACACAGCAGAGTGCTCTCTCACACACTGTCACACAGCAGAGTGCTCTCTCACTCCGACA